CCAGCCTCACTGAGCAAGCCCCTAAACTCTGAATTCTCAATTGGCATAACAACCTAGCTTGATGCTGCAGATGCTATTATAGCTTTACGGCATGTGCACCAAATAAATATCGTGGTCCTTCCTTTACTTCATGGTACACATCTATCAGTAAACATATCTACTAGTGGCTAACTTGAAATGGTCGCTACTGTTTCTCTCGCTCACCTGGCCTCAGTGCCATGTCTACGACATTCCCCAAATGTGATAGTTCTACTTGATTTGATTGACGTCCAAACTTGCCAACATTTACGTCCCTGCCAGTCCAATATTTTCTATTCAAATTTATAAGCCAACTTTATGGAAGAATTTATAGAAAGAAATAAAGGGGTCATAAAGAGTAGATTTAAACTAAAATGCAATGAAAATAAGGTCAGGAATCGGGAGGACGACCAAAAGTAGATATGTCTGCCGTTCTGTGAACTAAGCCAAAAATTGCGACCGTTGCTAAGAAAATGGAATATCAAAGTGACAACAAAAGAAGAGACAACGCTCTTTACAAGCCTGCCGACGCAACATGAGAAGGTTAACAAAGTGGATTGCTCGGTAGTCTCTAGCATCAAATGCGGCAGCTGTGAGCAAAAGTATATTGGTGAAACAGAAAGAAAAATCAGTCTACGAATCAAAGAGCACCAAAGTCTGTGCGAACATGGATACCGAAAGATCTGCAATAACTGAACAGATCACTTGAGTTGACACGAAATCTAATTGAAATCGATATAAAGGTTGGCTGCATATGGTGAAAATTCAAGAAAACGCAAGATACTAGAAGCCATTGATATCCTGACAGAAAGAAACCTTATGAACAGGAGACTTAAAGAAGGCAGGATTAGCGAAAACTTTGCATACTGCCTGAGCAAACTCAGAGAAGCGCAGAGAATAGCAATATCAGCAAAGAGAAGACGACTGGACAAATTTAGTATTTTCATTTATAGGAAAACAAATTATAATGAGATTAGAGAGGAATAATCGGAAACCAAGAGGAGATGTCTAGAGTGTGAGCACTCAGATAAAGTAAAACGATCACATTTGGGTGTCGGCATGCCGGGTCGGAATCCGGACAAAGTGCGTTCCCCTAGGCCGTCGTATCAATATGACCAAGTTGCGAAAACAATATCAGACAACATCTAAATTAATTTTTTGTTTATGATACAGTTTAATTCTTCTCCTACAATAGTGGACAATTCCCCTTTTGGGATTCTTATTTGGCTCAATGCAATCCTCTATTTCTCATCTTTTTACTTTAGACACGGGAATCAAATCACGTCGTGGTGGGGCTGCAGCAGCCAACAGCCTGGCCTCCTCCAGTCGAGATGCAGCAATGGACGCCGTCGAGTTTTCACGATCAATCAAGGCGCTCTGTGGAGGTATCTCTTTCATCACGGATGAACCGAGCTACTTTTATGCTATCGTCGTGGCGATGCGATCCGAGCAGATCTGCATTGATCGAATGGGCGGTCTGTTCCATTCAACACTGATCCACCCATTCTTCCGAGTTCGAGTGCCTAAGCGATCTACCAAAGACGTGCATCGCTCAACATTTAAGGTAGCCTGGATCGACAAAACACATTTTACTCTTTCGTTGAGTAATACTCTAGTCTAGACTGTATCTTGGATTTATTCCTTAGCTCAGAAGGCTTTCCATGAGAAATCCATGGGCGACTCCTCGGGTTCTACTGTGTTATTACTTTGCTTACCTGAACACATGAGTCTTTTAGAGACTTCAGGTCCACAGAGAAGGCCTAATGTTGTCCGCAATACGCATGAAGCGGAGAAGGAATATATGCTAGAGGCGATTTATAGAACTTGTCATTATGTACTCCAACCAACTTTAGAGGGAAAAAGAGGTAAAGACTTTAAGAAATTAGAGAATTAGTTAAAGCATGCTAAAGTAAAAAGCTTAAGACTACTTTTTTTAATGTCGACAGAAAGTCTGTTAACAATTAACGCTAAAGAGTCAACTCAATTAGTGGGACTCAAACCTATACCCTCTTGACTAAGGATAGGAAAAAAGTGTAATTGGGTGGTTTCTGCAAGGCTTATTAATAGAGGTGGACAATTCTGTCAAAATCATATGATCGCAAATCAGAGCATAGTTTGTAGAACATCGCCAACTTGGAACTGATAGAAGTGGTTTAAGATGCATTCACCCTATTTCCTTTAAGACGATGAAGCACTTAAAGTTGAATTCTTCCATACTGATACAGTTGCGCCTTAAGTTTCAAATAAATTTCACAAATGCTTGCCTCACAAAAGGTATTCTTTTTCAGGCAGGAGTGAACTTAATTTTAAACATCGCCTAAACTAGTCACATCAGTACCATTAGTGGGACTCGAACCCGAGTTATGGAAACTCAACCTAAGATCTCGGCATGTCAACCCCTACGCCACACTGCCACGATTGCCTATGCAGTCAGGTTTGGGCGAGAATACATTTCGGCAAGCAAAGCTATGTGAAATTTAATTAAAACGTAAGGCCTACTCATATCATTTTGAGAAAATTAAACTTCCACACCTTCATCACTTAAACCGAAATAGGGCAATGCATCTCATGCCTATATGATTTACTGGTAGTCTTGAAAACCTACATAGAAAGGATCCGAATCTTTAGTTTGTGGTTTGCGCAACTTGCTCATGTTGTTAGGGCGACTTAGGTGAACACACATTGTTTGAAGTTCTCTCCCATAGTTGTTATGATAATTCACAGAGTAGGATCGTTTACTTGGCAAATTTACTTGGTTTATTTTGTCCTGAATTATTGTAACTACTGTGACAGAGGACTTTGGACAAAATATGTTCATCCAGGTCGCACTGACAACACGACCAAGTTGTGAAAACGGGACCAAACTAATTCCATTAATCATGTTAACCTTATTTTGTTTAAGGTGATGAAGGACTGGTAGTGGAATTTTCCTACAATGATATGAA